AAAGCATTAGAAGTAGTCTAATTTTAATGAAATATTTAAAAATTTGAAAATGAAATCTTACCAAGAGCAGCAAAATTTAAAGCGTTAGAAGTAATCCATAATTTCAATGAAATATTTAAATATTATAAACTAAAATCTTACCGAAAACAGTAACGTGAATATCGGCGTCCAAACTTCCACCTTTATTTGTTCCAACACACGTGTAAATTCCTTCATGCTCCAATTGTGCAGTTTCTATTATTACCTTAAATTAAAATTAGTTATAAATATATCAGAATTTAATGACATTGTTTTGTATTACTTTATTAATTTTCCTGTTTCAGTAATGATTATAAAATGAAACGCATATTAATGCACCAAATATAACTTAACGTTCGCAAATATCAAATGTTATTTATTACTCAGTAATCGTAATTATTTTAATTATTTAATTACTTTAGTCGTAGTAAATTTAGCAGATTGCTTTAAATTAAATTCAAAGATGAAATGGAATAATTTGTACTTTCTAGGGTTTTTTTAGTTATCTGATTAAGAGATAAAAAATACAAATTGTTTCATCAAAATAATTCGTCGTTTTTTTGATTATTCTTAATCTGTATGTTTTTTTACTTTTTTTACTCGTGAAAACAATATGTTTTGTATGAAATTTTCATGGTTTTAAACAATAACTAATTATTCCAATAATTTAAATTTGAAACAAAGGTTACAAACAAAAAAAAAAATTAAAAAAAGAGATTAAATACCGATTTTCCATCTGATCCTAACATTACACCTCTTTTTATGATACCTTCCTCAAGAAGTTGTCCATTAACGAGCCAAGCAATACTTGGCTCTGGTATACCTGATACTGGACAACCTAACTCGATTCGCTCATTTTCTAGCACTGTTACTTTAATTTTGTGCATATTCTGATTCAGATTCGGTGGTACTGAAATTAATAATACCAATAGCAAGCATATATGTGTATTCAGCAGCGACAAAATTAAATAAAAAAAAATGTTGTATAATTTTTTAAATAAATTATTAATAATTTTTGAAAAAAAATTTTTGCTAAAATTTCTGAAACAATTATTCATCAGTGATAAGTAAATTTGACAATATATTAATTTAATTTATCATTTAATACATTTAAAAATAATTATACACTAACATATTTGCTAAATAATTTGCATAATATCTTCTTAATAATATTAAATAATTTTAAACCAATTTCCATCATTAATATCTTTATAATATTTCAATGTTTATTATTAATATTTTTCATTTGAAAAAAAAGGAAAAATCTCACCAATAATTTCAACTTGAAATGTTTTAGCTGAATCACCAGCTGGATTTCGTGCTACGCATTTGTAATTTCCAGCATCCATTTTACGTGATTCCAAAATGTGCAAACGTCTTTGATCATCCGAAAGGATAATATTTGCATCATCCACTATTAATTGATCATTTAAATACCATGTAATCTAAATTAATATTATTTTTTTAATCTGTTTTAATTAAGGTATTTTCAATCAATTATTGTTTAAATAGTTATTTTTTAATTGTGGAAAAATAATTAAATGAAGGTAATTTTAATCAAATCTATTTTTTTTTAAAGGACAAATGATCAATTATAATATAAGTAGAAATATTTCTGCTAATTTTCTTTTTTCATTATAATTGATTGTTGTTCGATTGTGAAAGAATAATTGAATGAAGAAATTTTAAATTGAAACCATTTTTTTGTTGAAAAAATTTTGCTGCCAATTTTTTCTAAAAAAAGATCTTTTACATTCGAATTATTTACCAAATATATGCTAAATTAATATGACTTTTGGGAAAGCAGTGGGAAAGCGAGAGAGAAAAAAAAAAGAAAAGAAAAAAAAGACAGGAAAAATACCTGTGGTAATGGTATGGAAAAAACTGGACAATAAAGACTGAAAGGTTGTCCAATAATAACTGTATCCGTTATAACTGTTTCTTGATCAGGAATATCAGGTGGAACTATAAATTATCATTTTTTTTTTTTAATAAATTGACAAAATTAGAAAAAAACATATTAATTTATTAGTGAAAAAAATTATAAAAAAATAAATGTAGTAATATTTTAATTAGTTATTCAAAAAAATTATGTTATTAGTTTAATTATTATAAAATTTCAAAATATTTAGAAAAATATAACTAAAAGTATTAATGGTAGTATGATATGACTGAAATGAAAATGTAATTAAATGAATTTAATTAATATTGTTTCATAAGATTAATCTTTCTAAATTTCAAAATTAAACACATGTGCACACACCCACACGTACAGAAAAATAAAAATAATTGAATAAATTTCTTATACATATCTTATATATATATATATATATATATATATATATATTATATATATATATATATATATATATATATTTATTTCCAACTATTTTTACTTTTTTTTAGAAAAAAACTAAAAATTTTTCTCCAATAAAAAAAAATTTTTATGGATTTTTTTCTCCAATTATTTTTACTTACTTTCTTTTTTTAGAAAAATTTACTTTCTTTTTAGAAAGAAAAAAAGAATTTTTTTTTTTAAATATTAGTTAAAATTACTTACTTATAACAGTTAATCGAATTAATTTTTCTGCAACACCAGCAGCATTTGATGCTTTGCATATGTAATGACCGCTATCATCATTTTTTACGTTATCAATGATTAATGTTCCATCGCTAGTGATATGCATGTGTGATATGTCATCATCTGATATTTGGATTCCTTTTTGAGTCCATGTTATGATGGGTGCTGGATTACCACTAGCATAGCAACGTAATTCAATATGATCACCTTCCACCGTAGTATAATCCGATAATGTATTTGGTGAAATTATTGGTGGTTCTAAATTTTTAAGTTTTTTTAAAATTTTTCTAATTAAAATTTCGTGTTCTTATTTAAAATAAAAGTTTCGTTATTTTTAAAAATGCAAAAAAAGAAAAAATGATGTTTTTTTTTAGTACCATGTACAATTACAATTGTATTTCGTTCATCATCTCCAGCTGGATTTGTTGCTAAACAACGATAAATGCCACGATGTAACGGTTGAACTTTTTCAATACGTATTGTTCCTGCTGAATCGATATGAATAATATCATTCGGAATGATCTATAATATAGAATTTATTTATATATTGTGCAACATCCGGAATGATTTATAATGCACAATAAAAAATAATGCAATTTATATGTGTTTGTATGAAAAAAAAATTTTAAATACAAAATGTTATTCATTAAAAACTGCAAATTATCTTTAAAAAAAAAGTAGCCAAGATAAAAATTGTAGAACTTTTAATTTTTTTTTTATTTTAATCATTTTAATCAACAATAACTTGGATATAATTGGCTACAAACAAGGTTAACTGCATTATTTGTTAGCTAATTCCAAAAATATATTTTACTACTTATGATTTACCTATATATTCATCATTTAATACAGATTAGCTCAGACAGTCACATATTATGAAAAATTATAACAAAATTAAAAAATGATAATAAATGAAGTAAAAATTATCACATAATACAAATAAATTTTTTATAAGATAAAAAATAAATAAAAAGTTCACCTGAAAACCATCTTTTTCCCAGCTAATTGTTGGTTCTGGTGTACCAACAGCGCGACATGGAATTTCTAGCATAAGACCAAGTACTACAACAATAGTACCTGAAATAATAAAGTTTAAATACTTGGTTACTTACTGTGCAGTCTTATTGTTCAAGTCAAAATAATTTCATTAGTTTTACTGAAAAAAAAATTTCAAACCTGGTATATCAGATATGATTTTTGGTGGTTCCTGTACTTTTAAAAGATATGTTATATGATCATCACCAGCTAAATTAGATACATGACATGTATATCGACCTGCATGATTCATTTGTGGAGTTGCTATTTCAAGTGATCCATCATTTATATAACTCATCTCCTAAAAGTATACCTTTTTTTTGTATAAATTAATTTCAAACAAAGAGATAATATGGTAAGCTGATAACTTAAATAAAGATGAATTTATAATTTGAAGTGGAAAAGGAGGACTAATAATAATATACGTATTCTTAGAAATTATTTTATTTTTTAAAACATTGAAATCTCGTTCATTTCAATTATCAGTTATCACTTAGGAACAATTAGCATATGATAGAGGTAGGCTAAAATGAGTTGGGTTATAATGCTAGTAAAGCTAATTAAATATTTAATCGATCGATCAACCAGTTAATCAGAAATAAAATGAATGAAAACATGAAAATAAACTAACAGATCCACGGCTATGACCTTCATAGATTCGATCACCCTCATAGCTCCATGTTCTAGAAGGTAATGGAAAAGCTCGTGCTGGACATGGTAATAATACTGATTGATTAACATTTGTAATTATTATCTTTAGCTAAAATAAAATGAAATTTAATAGCGAATTAATCATTGAATATTTCAAATAATAAAGATGAAAAATCGAAAAAAATTTCTTTTTCAATTTAATTACAACATTATTAATTAAATCATTTTTGTATTTATATATCATGAAATAAAAAAGTTTTTTTAATTAACATTAATTAAATATAAACCTGATCAGATCCTTCAATAGTTGGAGCTGTATGTACCGTTAAAGTGATTGTTTTTTCATCCATTCCAATATTATTTGTTGCGACACATTTAAACTGTCCACGATGTATCTCCTGGACATTTGCAATTGTCAATGAACCATCTTTAGCAATGTGACCATCGTTAAATTTGTCACCATTCAAATACCTATTGACATGTTAATTGATTAATTTAACTAAATGATTAAATTAGCATCCTGAGAAATTATTAATTTTTTATTTCATTTTAATTTACCAGTATAATTTAAAAATAATATTTAAATTTTAGCTGTGATTGGAATAAATTTAAATTTAAAATATTTTTAAATAACAAATATTTATCATTGCTTATAGATTAATAAACTAATATATTTATGAATTAATCTTAATGAAATAAAATCAAAATAAATCTATTACCAAGTAATCGTTGGTGTAGAATCACTGCGAACTTTACAAGGTAATGTAATTGAATTGCCCTGAATTAAATTATATGAAATTTGCCCAAGTTCAATAACAGGCGGACCAAGAATGATCACATCAATTGCTTGCTTTGCTTCACCTGCTACATTTGATGCTGTACAATGATATTTTCCTGAATGGCTTACGCTTGTTTGTTGAATTCGCAGTGTGTTATCCGGCTAAAATATATTTAAAAAATTGAACATGTATTAGCTAATTTATGACAATGTACATTAGCATTTTAATAAAATGAAATGTTTAGAAAATATTAGTTAAAAGTCAAAAACTACAAGTGTCAATTTTATTTTATTGATAAAAAATTTGAAGAAAAAAAAGAAAATTAAAAAAAATTAAAACTTGCAAATTAAAATTGAACAACAATAAGTTTCAACTCGTTTATTATTATCATTCTAAGAGAAAGAAAAGTCTAATAAAAATTTAAAACTTAATTACAAATAAATTAATTAATTTAATTTTGCGTTATTAATAAAGTATTTGATATTGATAAAACTAACAAGAAGTTCATATTCTGAATTGCTGGAACTAATCGATTTACCATTAATGCTCCAAACTATTTTTGGATGTGGTTTTCCAGTAGCACGACATGGAATTTCTAGCATTTTTCCCGCTGGTAAAGTATATTTCAATACATCATTTTTCTCGATTTGAGGTTTTTCTAAATTTAATTAAAAATACTTCATAGATATGCATGAACTATCTATTAAAATATACATAAATACATAATCCAATTATTTATGTAATTTTTTTAAACCTAAAAAAAGTAGATTTAAGAAAAATTTGTGCTATTTTAAAAATCAATTAATATTTTTTAAGTCAAAAATTGGTTTTAAAAAAATGATTAAAGAACTGAATAAAACGAAAGAAAAAAAAATGAACGCAAATAACATTCTACGAGAATAGCGATCTAATCTTTGCATGTTGTGCTTATTTACCAAACAACAAAAACTTTGTGAAATTTGAAAAAATATTAGTAATTACTTTTCTTCTTTTTGCTAACACTTTAAATTTTTGAAAAGAATAACTAACTAATCAATTTGACATTAATATTGAGAGAAGCATTGCCAGCTGAATTAGTCGCAACACAGGTATATTGACCCTCATCTTGTGGACGACCTTTACGTAGGAGTAAAATACTACCACCTGATTCTACCTATATTCAAGTATTGTTTGCTTTACATTTATGTACATTTAAAATTATAATAAATAAAATATGAATAAGAAACTATAAATCGGAGTAAACAAATAATAACTTAAAAAAAGATAAAAAGGAAAATTAAAAAAATATATATACGTAATTGCTAAATGGAAAAGTATTTTTGAAATGATTGATATATGCTTTATACCAATTTAAATAAAATGAATTTACTTTTATCAATTTTATTATTTCAATTAAGACAAAAAAAATCTACCGTAACATAAATGGAAGATTGTAATGGTTTGCCATCTTTATACCATCGAAGAATTGGTTTTGGTGTTCCAAGAACAACAATACAAGATAAACGAAGTTCTCCATTCTCTAATAATTTCTCTTCTGGTGGTACATGTCCTAATACTGGGTTCACTAAAAATAATAAATAAAAAGACAATGATTTTTTGGCCAAGCAGTATAATGACTGAATGAATTTTTGTAATTTGTAATTTATACATACATAACTTTTACATTTCAACTAAACATTTTACTAATATTATCAAAAAGTTTTAGATTGCAAATTTTTTTTAATTTTAAGAAATTTCAGATAAATTATTGATAACTAACCAAGTCCAGTAATTAATAATACATTTGTTTTATCTTGACGACCGAATATATTCTCAGCTGTACATGTATAGCGATCTTGATCATCAATTTGAACATCTATAATTTTGAAATTTTTAGAAATCTTTACATAAATTTAGTATGGGTAGAAAGAGAGAGAGAGAGAGGAAGCGAAAGAGCAGTAATTTATACTATTAATTAGGAGACTTCCATCTGGTAGAATTTTCATACGGTCATTCAATTTTTCAATTGATACACCATTACGATGCCATTTAATTTTTGGTAAAGGATATCCTATTGCACGGCATTGAAGTGTTACTGATCGCTCAATATTCACTCGGACTATTTCTGGTGTTGGTACAATTGTTGGCATACCTGTAAAATTATTTATTAACTCTTTTTTTTTTCATCATCTTCAAACTTTCATAATTTCCTGTATTTAAATAATAATATTATATTCTAATTATAGATTTTTAATTTATTCTATGCAAATTTATTATATTACAATGAATGTGAATGTCATATAATTCATTCAAATTACTTATTGTTTTAACAAATAATTTTTTTTTTCTTTTTTTTGAACAAATAGACTATTTATTGTTATTGTTATTATTATTATCATTATTTATTGCTATTATCACTATTGTTAACATTATTTTTGCATCAAATCAATAAAAAAAATTATATATTATCGGTATTTGTGTTGATAAAACTTTAAACTTTCAAATATAAATTTAAAAGAGTACATACTTCCTACATCAAGATTAATTACTCCTAAATCACGTCCAGCTAAATTTTGCGCAATACACGTATACGATCCAGCATCAGAATCTTGTACTCCCTGTAGCAATTAAAGAATATATTATTATCACGATAACACTTCAGATATTACTTTGATGAAGATAATTTATCATAAAAAAAAAAACCTGAATTGTGAGCTTATTTTCATCAATTGTAATATACTTATAACTTGGAATTTCACGTCCTCCACGAAACCATGTAATTTTTGGTCTTGGATTTCCTCGAACTATCTAAATGAAACATTAAATTGAAAAGAAAATAATTAAAGTAATTTAAGTAAAGTATTTTAATAAAAATAAAGTATATTGATTTAATCATTTAATCATAGAAAAATTTAAAGAAATATGCAAGTGATAAGTGGTAAAAAATATCATACGATGCATTCCAATGTGACACTATCACCCCTGCCAATCATTTGTCGATCACGTATAACACGTATTTTTGGCGGTGCTGCAAAATTTCTTTTAAAATATATCATCATCTACCATATTTAAATATATAATCTATTTTATAAATGAATATTAAATGACAACAAATTAATTTTAAAGAATTAAAAGCTAAATTAATAAATAAAATTTTATTAAAAATATTTGTTATATGTTAATGACAAACGCGCACTTCCATTCACATTTCTAACTTATTCAATTCATTTATCAATTCATGACTATTAAATTTAATAAAATTTATCTGAATAATACTTGATATTTGTGCAATCATGCTATCTGCATGTGAACCTGCAGCATTACTTGCACGGCATTCATATACTCCAGCATCAATTTCTGTTGCTTGTTGAACAATTAGATTGTCTACAAAAAATTATTTATTATATATATATTTTTTTTGTTTTAAAATAGGATAATTTAAGTTTTGTAGAGAAAATTAAAACAAATTAACAAACATTTATAAGTGATGTAGTATTTTTGATTGTTTGGAATAATTTGACGTTCTTTAAAGTACCATTTAGGTTCTGAAGTCATATCGCCTAAAATATTTATTAACAGTATCACATCTCGTCTAAATTATTAACACTACTGTAAACCATTCAATTCCATTCTTTTTTTGGTAAACAACTAAATGTGAAGAATTTTAAAAATAAAATTGAACAATTGCACATTTTTACTAATCATATATAAATTTTATTTAATTGCAAACTGAGTTTACTAGAATTCCATTTAATTCTCAATTAAGTTTATTGGAATTTCATTTCATTCCTAACTAAGTTTACTTTAAAAGAATAAAATAAATTTTAATCAACTACATTTTGTCAAACAAAATCTCACGAAAAACATGTACCATCAATGAAACATGAAATATTAAATGACTGTCCACGTGTGAAATGCAATTGCTGCGGCATGACTTGAACTTTAGGAGCTTCTATGACATGCAGATGCATGACGGCTTCAGCATGACCACCTGATGTTTGCACATGACAATGATAAATGCCTTCGTCATGCATATTAACATCAGTAATCATCAGTGTACCATTAGCATACAAACGCTGCAAAAATTACTTCGTTAGTTAATGGATGATATTTTCACACAGCATTAATGACCTTATGACTTAATAATAACCTACTTAGTGCTGCATGCTTACTTTAAGATATTTCATTAATGAAAAGTAATGCTTTGATTTTTTTAACATGAATGACCTTTTAACCGAATTTCGTTATATTTGCATGCTTACTTTTTCAATTTAATTGTGTCATACCGTTTTAGCCGTATTATCAATCATTGAATCGTTTTTTAGCCATCGCGTTACAGCGTTGAAATTTTCAGTGCGACAATGCAAAAATGCTGCACTTCCTCGTGCTATTGATTCATTTCGAATGGATGTGATCACAGGTGCTTGTTCTAAATTCTTTTTTTTAATGAAACAAATTGAATTTAAAAAAAAAAAAAAAACTATTGAAATTTTATTATTCGAAACTAAGAGATAAGCTCTGTGATCAAATTAATAAATCAAAACTGTGTACAGTGTACAGTTTTGATTTATTAATTTAATTTGACAGTGATCAATGAATAGTGAAAATTTTTTACGATAGTTATCCAAACTATTTCATTTCCTTCTAGTATTGCTACTATAATAAATAGGTATTCCAGCATGAACAGAACGACTCTATCTATTCATTTTTCATAACTTTAAAACTAATAAAAAGTTAAGTAGGAAAGAAATAGAGCAAAATGCAGCTATATTTTTTGACTTAATCTAGTGCAATATAAGTAATTTATGAAAAAAAAATTTTTTTTTCTCAGTTAAATTTAAATAATTTGTTGATGAAAATTTAAATAAAATAAGAAGTAAAATAAACGAAAAAACTGTAAATATAACCTTCTGTTTCAAGGAATGTAGTAACAGTATGATTTCCGGATGGACTTATAATTATACAATGATAGTAGCCACGATCTTGTGGAGTAATTGCTTGGAAAGTCCAAACGGATGTATCCGAATATCTATCAAATTGAATTCATTATAATACTTCTCTAATTGCTAAGTTAATTTAATTATATAAAAGAAAGAAAAACAACAACGAAATACATTGATTAAAAATATATTATGAAGAAATAAACTTACGAGTAAAAAAGTGGTTCACCAAATTGTTTGTTATCTTTATACCAGTAAAGTGTGAATTCACCTTTTGAAACTACTGAACATGTCAAATTAAATGGCTGTGAAATGGTTGCTATCATACGATTAGCCATATATGCTCTAAACAAATATACACAAGCATATCATTGTTAAATGACAAAATTAATAAAATAAACTAAATATTAATAATAAACAACAAATAAAAACAAAATTAAAAAAATTAACTTTTTTCATAAATTTTAACAATACGGACGATAAGAAAAATATATAAAAAAAACAAATGAAAAGTTAAAAAGTTGAAATAGGACGTATTTAAGAAAAAAAAAAACAAAGGTGAAGAAAAAAAAAATAAACAAACAAAAATAAATTTATGCCTTAATATATTTAAGGAAAAAGAGAAAATGAAAAATGAAAAAAAACGAACAAAAATGAATTCATACCTTGGTTTTGTGGTTTTAATAACTGAAATTGCTGTTGGTGCGATTCGTTGAAATTTATATGATTGGTCATCATCACCTCTTACACGAATAAAAAATAATCCATTTGGTGGTATAAATGGTCCAATATAATATGAATATGAATTATTCATATGCATTGTTGCTAATTTTGTTAATAATTCATTACCATAATAATCAATTAATGAAATATCAGTTACCATTCCCGGCGCTATTAATCCTTTCATTGTAACAATTAAGTAAGTATTTTGATAAGCAATTGGACGTGGATGTGACTAAAAATATTTGCTATTTAAACAATTTATGCGAATAAAAAATAATTTTATTATATAAATTTAAAATTTAAATAAAACAAATTAAAAAGCAAAAATTAATTAATTAATCACAATAACTTTTATCCTTACTAATTCCATTCTATCCGTTAATTTGACAACAAAACCATATTTAAAATCAATTGCACCATGACCAAGTACGCGCAGTGTATGTTTTAAACGACTTGATGTACGTATTTTCCAAATTCCTGGCATTGGATTTCGAATTCGAATTAATTTAATATTGCTCAAATCAATTGAACCACTTTCATCGCTGAATTGCGCACGATCTATTCGTTCACCTGTTTCAGTTCTTTTGTGTTATAATTGTTTTTTCCTTTTTATAGTAAACAACTTTTAAAATAACTATTAGATCACCCTTTAATAAAAAAATAATCTACTGGTCTAACTCATTAGAAATAAGTAGACAACTAAATGTAGACAGCTATTATTATTTCATTATTCAAAAAATTTGAGTGTTTTATTATTGCTTATGATTAAATTAGTAATATTTTAAATGAATTACTTTTAAAAAAAATTAATTCCTTTCATATTCTCCTAAATTGAAGTTAGTCATTAATTCTATTGAATAAAATGTTTGAAAATTACCTTTAGGATTAATCAAACTAATATCCAAATAATTTCCATCATCCTTATCACCTGACAATGATACTGTTAATTCAGTTAAAAGTCTATCAACAGGTATTTGACATAATGATGTACCACTGTGATCTCTAACTTCATACATAATATGAACCTACAAAAATTTCATGAAGTTTTACTAACGTGATAATTAAATTAACTTTTTTCAATCTGTTTATGTTTACTATACAAACAATTGAAAGTAAGCAGAAAAAGCGCATAATTTCCAAATGAAAATATTTCAATTTAAAAAAAAAAAAGGAAAAACTCGAAGAACTCACATGTTTTTTTTTTTTAAATAAAATTAAAATGCAACAAAAAAATAGATGGGAAAAAAAGTACAACGATGATCTTTCATTTTAGTGAATAACAAGTATACCTTTTCAATATGTAATGATTCTAATTACTTAGTAAAAAATAGACCTTTTTAAATGTGATCGAATGGCGAACATAATTAAGTACTTTATTAATATCAGTTTTTTCTAAATGAAACACCTGTCCAAAGCTAACAGCAGCTATTTTTTCATAGCATCGAAATCCAGGATGTGTACGATTGTTACAATCGCCTGTCATCACAAATACTACCTTAATATGAGTGGAAGAAATTAATTAAATAGTTACGAGAACCAGAAAAAAGATAAAGGAAGTATATTGAATTGCTGCTTTCATATCATTTGTTTTTTATTAATCTTTATGACAACTTTGATCAGTCACTGGGAATATTTTTTGGGAAATGTAAACTGAATTGATTTATTTCATTTTGTCATAGATCACAAAAAAAAATCTTCCGCTATTAAAATTAATTAGATAATTAGTTACGAAAATGAAAAAATAAAAAATAAATTCAATCTTATCAAAACAATTAACATTTATCTTTCAATATAATTTTTTTTAAATACAATCTAGACTCATCGACTGTAATCAACAGATTACTATTTATGCTTATATTTTTGCTGGAGATTTATGATTATTATTATCATTATTAAGCTTATATTTTAAGTAGTTAGAAAGTTTTGCCTCAATTTATAATTTTGAATAATTTAATTTTAGAAAACTTACAGAACTTTGCTTTTCCTGAATTAAATTAATGATTTGTTCTTCTAAATGATAGTCTTTAGCTCGTGCATCAGTAAAAACATATATAAAAGATGCTGGCAATGAAGCTTCTAAAGCCATTTGAATACCTGTAAATAATTAAAAATCACAGGTAAACAAATATTTGATGTTATTCTATTGCTTACTTATTTGAAATGAAATATACTTCTTAAGAATTTATCACTTACTTGCTCCAGTAGTAGTAAATTGTAATTCATGCTAGTCAATCATTGAGTTATTCAAATCTTAATGTTTATTTCATAGCAAATTCCTTTACTTCTTAAGAAAGAAGAAGGGAAGAAAATTGCTTTAACTTTACTTTAGCCTGCATTTTAGGAAGCATTATTGCAATTATGAAGCAACAAATAGCATCAAAATTAACTAAACTAACCAGTAAGCGTCATTTCCGGACAATCACCACCACCCACTACGTGTACCGAATTGAGATGTCTTTGGAATGTTCTCGGATCAGTTGTTGAAAATACTGGTCCAACTCCTAAAATTAATTTATATATAAAAGAAATGATACAAATTAAAAAAACGAATAAACTAAATTAAGTACTTTCATTATTAATTACTAAATAAACGTGACAGAACACAAATGACTGAGGCATTATAAGTTTAAATTTTTAAAGTTAAAAATTAAATATGATTTAAACAATATGTCATATATTCACTTGTAATTCATTTTGTTTAGTAATTTTTTTATATTTACAAATTTCTATTTATAAAGTATATTTGTAAATGGAAATGCATTGCAGAAAATCTTGATTTTGCTCTCCTTTTAAATGCAATTTTTTTTAATAGTTTTAACTTTATTAAATTATATATACTATTTATTAGTGAAAAGGTCTGTAAAAAAAAAATTATTGTAATATGTCTGTAAGTCAATTTGATGCAAAATTAAATTTAATATCTGTTTTAATAAGTTAAGTATTCAAAAAATTAATAAATTCCAAAAAAAGGACAAAATATTACTAGGATCATGAAATGGTACATAGATATAATTGTAAATAAGTTTTTCACGTTGTTTGAGCACAGTATCGAGAATTTTTTTAGCTCCATCTTGTACTTGAATTAAATCATCATTCATTGAACCAGTTGTATCGAATACAAATGTTAATGATGATGTGCCAGGTGGAGGAATTTTTTCATAGCTTCCATCTATTACCATATCATTGTGATAAGAAAATATCAGTAAGATAATAATATGAAGATTTAATACATTCATTGTAAAATTGAAATAGCTTTATAATTTATAATTTTCTTCTTTAATTCCAATTTTTCTGCAAGCAAAAAGAAAAAAGAAACAAGTAAATAAATTATTAATTGTATTTAATTGCATTTAATAAATGAATGAAACGATCAGATAGATAAAAGGAAGCTTAAATTAGTTTTTAAAACGATAAGAAAAGAAAAGCTATCATCTAACATATCTAATATTGATTTGTTAAAATTATAATTTTATCTAATACTAATTGTTAAACTTCAGTTTAATAAGTATTTCCTCATCACTTACTTGTTAAGCTTATTATCATTTGTTCGTCAAAAAAGGAAAAAACATGCACAAAATAAATGTTTTCGAAAAATAAAACAAAAGCAGAAAAAAAAAAAAGAAAGAAACGAGAAAAGAAAGGAATGAATTAATTTGGCAGTATTTTTGATTTAAAGTGATCGAATTCAAAAAATCGCTTAATACCATCCTTATATACCATTACAAGAGTATGCTCATTTTAACTAACTTATCAAATGATTATTGAACTGTTAGCAAATTGTGTTGCACAAAACTCAAATTTTTATTAGTTATATAATAAACGTGAAGTAAACAATACGTTAACGTAAACGTTCTCCTCTTCACTTTTGCTTTTTTATCTATTATCTTAATTGATAATATGTTGCTTACGTCAAATTTATTTCATTGTCATCTCATTCATTTTTTATAAAACAATAAAATTATTCTATTAACTTTAAATTAGTGCATTAATAATTAACACATCCAAAAATTTCAACATTAGTGCATTAATAATTAACACATCCAAAAATTTCAACCAAAAATATTTTTATTAATTGTTGCAAATGAGCCAAAAGAAAGGTTTTATTAAAGTCAAATTAAGGCGAAAAGGATTTATTGAAGTCAAATTAAAATTAAAATTTATCAATCATCTATTAATTTGCAATAAAAAGTTTAGCATATTTAGTAGATTAATTAGTGGTAATGAGAAAGAAATAAAAAGGACATAACATTTGATTAAGCTCATTTTTTTTTTTTTTTTTTTTTTTGAAATCTTTCATTTTTATAAATTAAAATTCCCAAATGATTTGACGCAGTTAGCAAATCGTTTAAGTTCTAACTTCAAGAAAAATAATATTTGCTTGATAAAAAAGAAAAAGCATTACATTATAATTTAATGGTATTCGAGAACTAAAGGGATAATGATAGTAAAAATGATTAGAAATGATTGAATGCAGTCTTTAATTATTGAAAAGTTAGAAAGAGGCTGAATCATTTTCCCGGTTATCAGCCTAATTGATTAATTAACCTGTTAATAATGTTCATATAACAGGAAATATCTTATCATTAATGCATGCATAATTACGAAATAAGAAAAGCTTAAAATTTCAATATTTTGAAATAAATAATTTTTGAAATTTTTCAAAACAAGTTTTTTTTTAAAGTCCCAATTTTCTTTTTTTTTGCAAGTAATATATAAAGAATGTGGAGTAATTTTTGTATCTAATTATTACTGTAAAAAAAAAATAAATCGAAATACATTTATACATTGCACGCAATGAGCACAACGAACAAGTCATAAATTTTAGAAATAAAAAAAGTAAAAATATAGAAAAAGCAGAAGCAAGCAAAGATGTAATACAATATAAATGGTAGAACAATAAATTTTATTTTTTTTTTGCTCAAAAAAGGTATCTAAGTACTCAGTTATATCTATCATTTAGTCTAGTCTAATTGGCCCATAGATTAAATTAAATTATTTCTAATTAGAATTAAATGCAATGATTAGTTATTGTATTCAAGTGATAAGGTATTTTAATCATAGATGTAACATTTTTCTAATTTATCACAGCAGTAGAAATTTTGTATTTTGTTAATTTACTGTAATAAATTTGCACTTTAAATATCATTAGTTTTTTTTAAAAAATTAAATTATAAAAAATTATTCTTTATCCCAAAATATTGTGATGACAAAATTAAAATACATAAGCAATAAAATCATGCTATAATGTTAACAATTTTATCATTTTGAAAGCAATTACATTTTGATAATTTTATGAAATGAACTGCCTAACAATTTGTATAGCTTTATCATTAACAATCTAATAATTTGTATAATCTTAAAGAAATAAGTCAGCATTTTCAATCCTGTTATATCAAATAATTGATTGCATAGGTATGACCTATGAACTACAGCTAACCAAGTAATATGATAGCTATTTCGAAAAGTAACAGTTATTTCTTTCGAAAAATTTTTAGAACAATGAAATTTGTAACTGAATTAGACAATAAATGTGAAAATAATGAGAGAGAGAGAGAGAAAAAAAAAAGCAAAAGAATGAATGAGTGAAATTTGTTTTAGAAAAAATAAATAAATAGATGACACTTGGCTCAGATGTTATTTGAGGTTTAAAATTTTTGAATTCTCACAGACTGAAACGATTGGTGGACGATAGAAGTAGTGATAGTAGTGGTAAAAATCTTCTTATCACTCTCTCTCTCTCTCTTTTTCTTTTCATTCATCCACAACAATTCCGCTAATTTTCAAAATATCGGATCATACCAAAACGTTTCAAATTTTCAGGTCAACAAAAAAAAAAAAAATACGACACATCTGCAAGTCATGTGATTTTTTTTTTTTACTATAATGAAATATGGTCGGGATTCTTTCCTTTTTTTTTCCTTTTTTAAGAGAAGTAAAAATTCCGAAAATTTTGCTTAATGCTGATTGCGATGAGAGGAGAGAAACGATAATATATAATAGATGATAGGTATAGATGAGACTTTTATATAAATTAATAGATATATAAAGAAAGAATAACAGATAGATGATAGGTATAGAAGATCAAGAAAGATATAATAGAATTGATAGATATCAAGAAAGGGATCTGGATAATGATGATAGGTATAGATGAGATCAAGAAGGGATAGCTGGATAATGATGATAGGTATAGATGAGATCAAGAAAGGGATCTGGATAATGATGATAGGTATAGATGAGATCAAGAAAGGATCTGGATAATGATTGATAGGTATATCTGGATAATGATGATAGGTATAGATGAGATCAAGAAAGGGATCTGGATAATGATGATAGGTATAGATGAGATCAAGAAAGGGATCTGGATAATGATGATAGGTATAGATGAGATCAAGAAAGGGATCTGGATAATGATGATAGGGATGAGATCAAGAAAGGATCTGGATAATGATGATAGGTATAGATGAGATCAAGAAAGGATCTGGATAATGATGATAGGTATAGATGAGATCAAGAAATCTGGATAATGATGATAGGTATAGATGAGATCAAAGGGATTGGATAATGATGATAGGTTGATGAATAGAGTATAGATGAGATCAAGAAAGGGATCTGGATAATGATGATAGGTATAGATGTGATCAAGAAAGGGATCTGGATAATGATGATAGGTATAGATGTGATCAAGAAAGGGATCTGGATAATGATGATAGGTATAGATGAGATCAAGAAAGGGATCTGGATAATGATGATAGGTATAGATGAGATCAAGAAAGGGATCTGGATAATGATGATAGGTATAGATGTGATCAAAAGGGATCTGGATAATGATGATAGGTATAGATGAGATCAAGAAGGGATCTGGATAATGATGATAGGTATAGATGAGATCAGGGATCTGGATAATGATGATAGGTATAGATGTGATCAAGAAAGGATCTGGATAATGATGATAGGTATAGATGAGATCAAGAAAGGGATCTGGATAATGATGATAGGTATGAGATCAAGAAAGGGATCTGGATAATGATGATAGGTATAGATGATCAAGAAAGGGATCTGGATAATGATGATAGGTATAGATGAGATCAAGAAAGGGATCTGATGATGATAGGTATAGATGAGATCAAGAAAGGGATCTGGATAATGATGATATATAGATGAGATCAAGAAAGGGATCTGGATAATGATGATAGGTATAGATGAGATCAAGAAAGGATCTGGATAATGATGATAGGTATAGATGAGATCAAGAAAGGAATCTGCGATAATGATGATAGTATAGATGTGATCAAGAAAGGGATCTGGATAATGATGATAGGTATAGATGAGATCAAGGGATCTGGATAATGATGATAGGTATAGATGAGATCAAGAAAGGGATCTGGATAATGATGATAGGCGTAGATGAGATCAAGAAAGGGATCTGGATAATGATGATAGGTATAGATGAGATCAAGAAAGGGATCTGGATAATGATGATAGGTATAGATGAGATCAAGAAAGGGATCTGGATAATGATGATAGGTATAGATGAGATCAAGAAAGGGATCTGGATAATGATGATAGGTATAGATGAGATCAAGAAAGGGATCTGGATAATGATGATAGGTATAGATGAGATCAAGAAAGGGATCTGGATAATGATGATAGGTATAGACTGGATTGAGAAAAGAAGCTGCAGAAACTTCATATTATTGCCATTCAACAAATGTAGTATTGAGATAACAGCTAGGCCATGTGTTTTCGTCCGAACACTTTCCAACTGATAGAGCCAAATGGTTGTAACCAATGATAAATGATTCCTTCTTGCTCGTTCAACACTATCCATTTCATAATATACACATACACACATAACAAACATGCACAGACATAAACACACAGATACACACAAACACAAACATAAATACATATTACTCAGAAATTAAATTAACTTCCAAAAATTTTAATTTATTGCCATAAATTATTGTCACATTTTCGTTTGTTCATTAATTAACAATTATATTTGTTAATTTGATTGATTGATCTTGCGCTTAATTATTTTTGTTTATTTCCTACTTATTTTCTCAAAAAAAAAAAAATATGTTTCTTTTGGTTACTCATTAAACTTATTGATTTACTAATTTGTTAGTTATTCAGCATTTTTGTTTATTTTTGTTCTCAAAATCTGCTATTAGCTTCAGTTTGATCATTTTGATGAATTAGGTAGTAAAATTTCTTTTTCACTTAATATTTCTTATTATAAGAAATCATGATATAATTAATAAAAATTGTTCATTTCATTTTATTCATTTCAAAAATTAATTTCACTTTTTATAAGTTAACAAAATTAAGATTGATTCCATTCAGTTACTCAATGAATAATGTCTAAAAAAATTAAAAATGAATTATGGTAATTGCATATATATTTATCTATGTATGCATTAAAAAAAAGTGTAAATAATGAGATTAACAAACATGCAAATTTATACAAAGGTGTATAAATAAATAATGAGCATTCACATAACGTCTTTTTATTTATTTATTTTTTTTTTTAATTATTAGAATTTGTAAGAATATTGAGATAGTATAATATGCATGTAAAAAGTTATAATGCAACCCAGTTTTTCTAGAAAATTTTTTAGTAATTTTTGTATTAAATAATATTTGCATAATTTGAACATTCATTACAGAGAGTAACTTCTAAAATACGGAATATTAAAGTTCATGGGTATAAGTTATTCATTTGTGATATATGCTAAATTTACTTCAGCATTAATTGATATCATTGATATCCGAAGTGGATTATATAAATTAAATAATAAATATTAAATAAATAATAATAAATATTAATTAGATAATAAAAATGTATATTTTATGTTAAACGTGAATACGAGAAGCATAGCAACGTAGATATTATGTATAAAATGAAGTAATCGTTCGAGAAACCGCGATAGATTCACTGCCGCTTAATTCAATTAATTCGTATTAATGTTAAATTATATTTTACATATATCTTTAAAAAAAAAAAATCTTTTATATTTCTTTCTAGAATAAACCCGATAGATTTAACAAAATGGCCACATGAAAATTACTAACATTTACGCTTACTCTCATTCATCTTATTCATTAGCTACCAGTCGTGTAGATGTTTCCAAACATTCTAGAAACAACTAATCACTTATACAATTTACACAAAACACAACAAAGCTGCTAAAATTCAAAAAAGTAAATTTCTCTTCTGCATTCGTTTTTATGCAACATCAATTATTCAAGTTGATGATAAAGTTTTAAAATTGTTGAAAATTAAGTTAGCAGTTAAACAATGATAATAAGGAAAGTATTTTAAATGAAGTTTCAAAAAAAAAAAAAAATTATAACGTAGTGAGAGATGGATAGAGTAAGGAGAGTATTGTATGATAAAGAAATAAAAATAATTTTGAAATGATAAAAGTTCTATTTTGATAATTTTGTGCAACAATAATTACTACTGATAAAGATAACAGTGAAAAAGAATGAGTAGTTTTACGATATGTAATGAATTAACTCTTGAAAAAATGAATATTTGAAAGACTATATTTCATCCATCATTCTCACTCCAGTCATTTGTGCCTTTGTTTGCTTTTTTTTTCACATGCTTCGTTATTATCAGCTTTCTCAAAAACTTCCTCAATTTATTCTTAAATTTAACCCAGGCAAATTCAGCAATGCTGCATTTTTTTCGCTTTTCATAAAATTAATCAACGAATTAACGAAACAATTCGTTCTTTTGCGAAATTTAAACATCACATTCAAAACGATCAACCAATTATTTCAATGTATATTTGCCAAAAAAATCAGTTGATGATGTATATTGATCGATTCATTTTGATAATTATTAGCAAATATTGCTTTATCATGTTAATTAAAACTATTCCTGCAAATTGGCTTGAAATTTGAAAAAAAAGTTTCTAATATTAAACAAATGAAATTTTTTTAGGATTTTTCTTTTCTTTTAATTACTGTACTTTTCTGAAATCCAAGTTTTTTGAAAAGTGTAAGCAGAATCCATTTTTTGCGCCGTACCAAAAATTCATTGGCCTATGAGAGGACATGATAATGAATGGTACTCTTCTTTCATTTCATCATTAATGGCAATCTATAATTTCAATGAAAAATTCTCTATTAATATTTTCAAATTACTTGAGCTCATATTTTTTCACTTAGGTTTCATTTTAAATAGATTTTTTCGAAAACAAACAATATTATTATTTAAAGTCAGACATTTATTTACTGTCATCGTTTGTGATACAAATTTTAGCATTTATATCAGCTTTAAAATTATTGAATAATACATAATCAAATGATTATCATCTTATGATTGTATTGTTCTATTCTGAACTTTCCGGTAACGATTCTACATGTTTTATTGTATCGTCAGAAGGTAAAATCTGTAATTGAAGTTAGAAAATAAAATGAAATTAATTTAATTTAGTCTATAGAAATTAGAGAATTTTAGAATAGATAAATCAATTAAAAATAATTTGTAATTTTTTTTTCTTCTCGTTACTTTTTTTATTAGTCTACCTAATAGTCTGAAGTATGCATAAAGCATTAAAGTATAGTAGTATCTCATATAGTTACGTGAATATAATTTGAAATAGTTAATGATATTGGCTTCACAAGAGCGATTTAAGATTTTAAAAATTGCAACTTAATATAAACTGTTTTATATTAGCCAAACAAATTAATCAAATAGGGGTAACTCACATATATAATTGCTCATTTCACCTTCACGTATTTACTACCCTCGAATAGTTCTATAATCTGTATGAACTCAGTGCTCGTTATGTTATGTTGGAAAAAGCTAAAGGAATTCTAACATAATGTAAATTTATTTAAAAAAGCAAACAAAAAAAAGAATGTTTTTTTCCTTTTTTATTTTCAATGTTTAGACGTAATGGTTTAAGCATCTTAAATATGATAAAATTTTTGATATGTTAAGTCATAATTTTATACTTTTTAATAGATGCAGTTGCCGTAAAACGTTATAAATGTTCATAAATGTTTTAGAGGTGATTTTTAGAGTCTTTTAAAGTTAATGCCCTAAACACTTTAAACGTGATATGTTAGCTATCATAAACGCGATATTACAGTTATATTATACGAGTTGTTTACGTTGTGTGTCTTAAGTGTCTAAAACTAATGTCTTAAGTCTTCTTAGCTGTCACAAACGTGATATTTTAAATGTGATAAACGTCACATTTTTAAATGCTGTGTTTTAAATAAAATCTTAGAGATGATTTTTTTTGCCTTTTTGTTGATATTTTAAAATGATATTCTAAGATGATAATATATTAACTGTTATAAACGTGATATTTCAATTTTCTTAACGAGATATTATGAAAAGTTGTGTATCATAAGTATTTTAAATCTGACGTCTTCAATATTTTTGAAAAGGTTGATGCATCCATCATATTATTTTATCATATTGTAATTAATCAATAAGTTTAATAAATGTTAATTAATTGTTGATAAAAATTTACTGGTATTGTATGAGAGGCTTGTGTTCGACCACATTTTAATGATGCTGCTATTGGTTTAGGTTCACTTTCTTCTGTAGCTATATAATTTCAATATTTTCTAAGTTGTCAAATTGAATGGAAATTTTTTTAATTTGAATTAGAAATTTTGATTTGTTCTGACTACTTTCATCATCCCAATAATTTTTTTAACCAATATGAAATGAAAACCAAATATTTCATTCTTTTTTCTCCCAACAAAATTTCGATCATTTTAATAAAATTTAACCTTCCGGTAATGAAATTTTAAGTGGCTTTAATGGGTTTTTTACATTTGAAGCTGTAATTTGTGAACCTTTGCTTCTTTGCGTTTCATCCTTAAAAAAGAGAAAAAGAATAAAAAAACGCAGGAAATGAGCTAAATGTAAGCTATTTTTATACTAATTCCGACTCTTTCTGTTTAAAAAAATAAAAATAAAAATGAGGTCATCTTTTTTCTCGTTGCATTTTTAATCAGAGTCCAAATAATCAATAATAATCTTTAGACTATTAATCTACATAATTTAAAATTTTACGAAAAAAAGCCTAAGTAATCTGTAAGTAATAGCTATTAAATATATTTATTTACTTAAATAGTTATTACAAATAATTAAGCAATTATAACTTCATCAAAAGTTTTGCATATTCCTTCATTCAATTTTTCCAACTAACCAATTCTAAATGTTTTTGTCCTTTAACAAGTGGCACAGCTGGTGTTAATTCAAGCTTTTTACGTGAACACTCGAATAATACCCATATAACGACGCTAAGAATTAGTAAAAATGTTGTAATTAAGCATCGCCATAGCGCAAATGTTCTTAGCAAAAGTATAAATATCACACCGCTCACCATAATCATCAAATAAGAAAATGATATACGACAAATGATCAATTAATTTCATGTGGTATTGAAACAAAACAATTTTACTAACAAAATTGTTTATTTTTAATTAACTTATCATTTCTGTTAATATTCTCTCTAAAAAGAAAAGAATTCTTAGTTTTTTCTTTTTCTTTTTCTTAGAATTTTCTATAATTAATATGTAAATTTTATATTTTTTTATAATTTTTTATAATTAATTAACAATGAATAAATCTGAATAAATTAATTCAAAAAAAATTTTAACAAATGAATAAATGTGTATAAAAAACAAAAATATGAATTAAAAGATTATGCATATTTCTGATTTGACTAAACCTACTTTCCACTCTTTCTTTTCTTTTACATTGTTATTATGTCTGTGAATGAAACTCTACATAAAATAATAAAAAATATTTTAATTTATGACCATTTATTTATTTCATATCATATCTTTTTTCATTTCATATTTTATTAGATAAATTCTTTGCAGAAAAGGATGAAAAACATAAGTAAAAATAATTTATTAAAGAATTATTTAGTAGATATCACTTTTTTAGAATAGCTTTTAACTTCCTTTCTATTGAAGTTTGTTTTAAAAGAAAGAAAATGTATAGCAATAAATTATCAGGTGAATAAACCGATGAATATTTCGGCTAGCTTTTTAACTTATTTTTAATTTTTTAAAGGCCATTTGCTTAAGAAGACAGAAAAAAACAGAAAAGTGAAATTTTTTACTTTGCTCATCGGAGCAAAGTAAAAAAAAAAAAACTTAGAAAAAATTTATAAACTTAGAGTTTATTGGTTTTTTTTTTCTTTCTTTTTAGGACGCTTTCAATATTTTCTTAACATTCAACAATGTTAGTGTATAAGTTCGCTTTCAAAAATGATTCATGCTGATATATTGCAACTAATAAATAACAAAAATTTTCGCCAATTTCTCGAAACTTCTTTAAAATTTAAAAAAGTATTATTCTTTTTTAATTTTTTCAGAGGAAATTTTGTAGATTGTATTTCAGTTATTACTGGTAGTAGATTTTTAGAAAAAAAAATTGAAATTTAACGTGATTGATTTATCAAAAAATAACCTCTAAAGAATTGATAAATTGGGTTTTATATGTGAATCATACTCAATATTTAATTTCATAACTAACTATTTCATACAGAAGTTTCCAAATTGTCATTTATGTTTTCAGAGTCAAAATATTAATTGCATATTTTCTTTGAGTAATTGGTTTAATTTTTTCAATTTTTGCTTACGAAAATAATTCGTAGAGCTATTCAAATTGATACAATGATTGGAAAGAAAGATGACATAATTTTTCAGTGATAACTAATGATTTGATTATGTATAAATCAACTGCAAGTAAATAAAGGATATCAGAAAAGCATAAAGCATCTATTATTCAGTGATAACAGATGTTTTTCTCGTTACTGCATCAACCCCCAGTTAACAGTAAATATCTATTTATCCGACATTAATATTATTTGCCTACAGCTCAACAACAAGAAAATTGCTAATGGCAACAACAGTAATGTTAACTACCACTATTATTTCGTTATTCTTGTATTTTCACGTTGATCTTTATGGCTTATACACTATGTTTCTGAGTCCAGTCATCGTTTACTTATGTGACACGCTTCTATTCTTGAAATTTGCATTCCAATGGAGTGGTGCGGCCAAGTAATAACCTTGAACCATTGCTGTGATAGTTTCTTCACCTATATGTTAGTTGATCCTGTGTGTCACCTAATCAAACAATCACTTTAACAACCTTATTTCATCCTTTTCTTTCTTTTATTTTTTCTCTTCACATTTCTCATTGCCTTGCATTTTGTGATTTACTAATTATTTTATAAATTTTATTAATGATTGCATTACAGCATAATGCGAAATTTCAATTTCTGCTTGAATTAATTGAATTAGTGTTTTTCAATTTAAAATAGGTTTTTAAATTCATTTTTTTTTATTAATTTCATTGTTCAAATGACTTAAAATGATGTCGGCTAAGAAGATTTCGATAATTTTCAATATTCAAATTGATAAAATCAATGTTACATTGGTGGCATCAAAATATAACAACGCATCATTCATTCATTCATTCATTCCATTTTAAATTGATTTACTTTTCTGAAAAGCAAAATGATGAAAAATAATGTTAATTAGAAAACTTCAAATATTTTAAGTACATAAATAATTATGCGAAGTTCAATTATAATCCTATCAATTCATCAGCAATTCAAACATTATTTATCAAGATATTGCCAAGAGAACGTATTTGAAGAAGGTCTAGTTCATACTAAATGTTAAATAAGTTCAAAATTTCATTATTCAAATCATTAAAATATTAACTAGAAGGGATTAATAAAAGCACGCAGCAAGTTATAAGTAATCGAAAATGCATGCAAAAATAATGGAAAGAAAATGGCTAAGTAAGTGCAAAAAAAGCATTCAGTAAGTTATAAGCAAGATAATCCAATCGTACTTATAACTTAGGTTATTACTTTCAAGTCATGAATTTATAAGTAAATTTAATTTGCCACATATATATATTGAAATTTATTACTATAAAAGTTTATTTTGTGTTAGAAACAGAATTTGATCCGTGTTAAAAAAAAGAAGAAAAAATCTCATCACCAACCAAAATTTAACGAATACATTTCTCTCCAGTTAAAAAAAAAAAAAAAAAAAAAAACAGATTCTAATATTTCCGTGGTTTAAAAAGGATGAAATTAATCATTTTATTACTATCTCAGCTTTTCAAAATAATACTTGGATATTTAACAATGGTAATTACTAAACCTGTCTGCTAAAAGAACGGAGATCATACCGATTTAAAATGTAATGTTAAGCAAAATAGTAAATAAGTCTGAAATATTTTTATAAAGCAAAGGAGATTTAATTTTGCTACCTCGTCAGGTTTATAAAAATCTATTTTTATTAAAATTACTGTCAAAATTGGCTGGAAATGATATCAGCTGAAAAGTTTCAACCATATTAATGCTCAAACAAATAAATAAAATCAATTTTTATACCATAATTATGTTGAATCTTATTACTTCAACAGTTGATATTTGTGCCAGGTCAAAAAAAAAAAAAATAAATAAATAAATAATCATAACTATTTTGCTGGAAGATGGAAGATCATATCGACTGACAGAATAATGTCAGGGAAAATGTTAAATAAGTTCAAAATATTTTTATAATTCAAGGGAAATTTTGTTTTGCTACCGTATCAGTATTTCATAATTCATATTTTTTACCAAATTCATTGTTAAAATTGATTCTAACAACTAGAGTAAAGAAACAATTGAGCAATACCTTTTAATTAATTTGCATTAAATTTAAACATGTTTCAGAAAGACGAGTACGATCCAGATCCCAGTCCAAAAAAAGCATGCATTAACCGAGAATATAAATCGCTGAACAAAATTAATAAAAAACAGTAAGAGTGACAAAAATAAGTGCAGAAACAAATGTAATGAAAAAAGATCCGGAATGCAACTAATATAAAATATTATGCGATAAAAAATACAATTGAAATTAACGGAAAAGCATGAGTAAACATAAAAAGCTGTAAATAATATGAAACATTGTCCAATACAAAAAGTGAAGCATGTAAAAAAATCGTACGAAAATTAAAAAGTATAAAATAACTAAATAAAATAGCATGCATTAACAGAAAATATAAATTGCTGAACAAAGTTAATAAAAAAAAAAACCTGAAAAAAAAAAAAAGAAATAAAAATGAGTGCAAAAACAAAAGCAATGAAAAAAGATCCGGAATGCAAAACAACATAAAATACTATCCACTAAAAAAATATAAGTGAAAATAACAGAAAGCATGCAATTACTAAACATACAAAAATTCATATAAGACGTAGAATGAACAGTTAACAAGAAGCATGCAGTAAGTTATAAGTAATCAAAAATACATGCAAAAATAAACAAAACAAAAAGTGGCTAACAAAAATACCAACAGTGAAAATAGAAATAATACAAAATATCACTGCACAAACTGTCTTTTAAAGCATCGATATAGAAAATCGTTTTGATATATTATAAAGGATAAAATTTTACCAGAAATATGATTTTATCAGTAAGAGATCAGAGTATAATTATATTTCTTTAACAAATTATAGACATATAATCATTTCTAACGTTATTAAAATTACAAATTACCGATGTTGTTATTTCTTTGTTCTTGGAACCATCGTGTATGGTTCTACCTGCGGCATTTGCAACTTCCTTCGGAGCTACTCCGGAAATCCCCTAAGTGAAACTCATCCGGTGTCGCCGTAGCCAAAGCTTCCTGAATTGCGAGGACCGTCTTCGTCCTTCTGAAACATGTTTAAATTTAATGCAAATTAATTAAAAGATATCGCTTAATTATTTCTTTACTATACATTTACTACAAAATTAGAAAGCTTAATCTTTACCATTTACTACGAAACTTAAAATTACTTACTCTAATTATTGCTTTATTGTTTATTACAAAAATTAAAACTTACAGAACGAGTTCACTGATCTCCATTGGTGCCACTTGTACCTCAGGTTCTCCATCTCCATCGTTTGGCAGAGGGTCCGATTCTGTCTCTTCATCAAATTCTGGCTCCTGAGGTGCGGCGTCTTCCTCCATTTCTCCCTGGGCATTTCGTCCTTCCAATTCATCCAGCCTTGTCTGCACCTCGTCCAAGAGGATCATGAGGGACCGTTCAAATTGAATATGATATAGTGAAATTTAGAGCCATATTTTAAATTTAAGGTGAAAAATTCTGCAACGTTTTTTTCTTCAAACCGTCATCAATTCTATCAAAAGGAGAAAAAAAAAAAAAAAACGTATGAAAAGAAAAAGATAAGCGAAATAAAAATAGCTGAATTGTCCCTACCACAAATCTCTGTAGTGCGCGAAATATTACAGACTCCCTTCTCAGGAAATTAAAAGCAGTCTGGAGATCCTGATTATCTTCCATAGGAAATGTTATTCTACAAAATTAACAAATTTACTGAATATTCATCATGTAAAAATTTTGAAGATTTAAAAATATTATTTTTTGGGAGACGTTGTTGATTTCGGGAAGATTTGCTGGATGAGATGTAAATTTGTGGAATAACAGAAGAATAAAATATTTTCTTTATTAGCAGAAACAATAATACAGTAATTTGATAGAGACGAATCGTAGTGGCATCACAAACTTGTCGAGAAGCGAGAAGTAGTCGTAGCCCAAATTGTCGAGAGCGAATCCATAGTTTTTTTTTACAAAAGTTGTGGAGAGGCGAAACGTAGTTCACCTATCTTCGTTTTTAGATCAAACAAACAATGCTCTCCTTTTTGGTGCTTTGTGAAAACAATGCCACTTTATTGATGATACAAAATAATGACGCCTTATTAGTGATCTCCTTATAACATTACTCTGGAAGCCGATATAGTAAAAAAAAATAAATTCCAAATGTAATAAAATTTCAAAAACACAAATTCAAGCGATAAATTAATGAATTTCTATATATTTTTAACACAAAAGTGAATTTTACTGATTAATTTCAGCTTTTTAATGCTTGAAATTTTCTAGTGGTTAGAATCAGTTTTGACAATGAATTTGGTAAAAAATATGAATTATGAAATACTGATAAGGTAGCAAAACAAAATTTCCCTTGAATTATAAAAATATTTTGAACTTATTTAACATTTTCCCTGACATTATTCTGTCAGTCGATATGATCTTCCATCTTCCAGCAAAATAGTTATGATTATTTATTTATTTATTTTTTTTTTTTGACCTGGCACAAATATCAACTGTTGAAGTAATAAGATTCAACATAATTATGGTATAAAAATTGATTTTATTTATTTGTTTGAGCATTAATATGGTTGAAACTTTTCAGCTGATATCATTTCCAGCCAATTTTGACAGTAATTTTAATAAAAATAGATTTTTATAAACCTGACGAGGTAGCAAAATTAAATCTCCTTTGCTTTATAAAAATATTTCAGACTTATTTACTATTTTGCTTAACATTACATTTTAAATCGGTATGATCTCCGTTCTTTTAGCAGACAGGTTTATTAATTACCATTGTTAAATATCCAAGTATTATTTTGAAAAGCTGAGATAGTAATAAAATGATTAATTTCATCCTTTTTAAACCACGGAAATATTAGAATCTGTTTTTTTTTTTTTTTTTTTTTTTTTTAACTGGAGAGAAATGTATTCGTTAAATTTTGGTTGGTGATGAGATTTTTAAAGCGAAGATGTGAATGGCTATAGTAGGACAGACTCATTGTGCTTTTTTGGCAGACATAACTATCAAAGATAGTTAGTTCATAGCGAAGAGTGAGATGTTTGAATTTGTGAAATGTTTGTGAAACGGTTCAGCTTTTCAAAGCCAAAATTGTTTTAATTACTTAAAATTACTTAAATACTTAATTATTTAAAAGTTTATTCAATTACATTAAAGCAAGTTAAATTTATTCAGTTTTTGTTGTTTTCCGACTTCGAATTTTCTTTTTTACAATCATGCGAGATCGAATCAGTGTAACATTCGTGAGTTTCACTACTGCACTAGTCACATACAAATCCGTTAGAGTTGAAACTTCTGATTCGCTGATTCACTGCTGCAGTGTCATACTATTCTAGGATTCTATTTTGTTGGATCATCGTAGATGGTTTGTTATAAATGATCTGTTGAATTTTCAGCTTGTATTGAAATGCTTTAAGACTGCTATATTCGTATGATCTCTTCGATAAGAAATTCTAAACAAAATCTGATATACGATATAAATGTTTAAAGACAAGTTGGTTCTAGTTTCATCATTTTGCAGTAATGAAATGAAAGAGTGGAAATATAGAAACGAGAAAATATTTGCGGTAAATTTGGTGCAAAAATAATTACACTTTTGGTTTATGAATTTTAAATCATTGTAATTAGTCACTAATTATCTTTATTAATTGAGGTGAGAATCAGTGCACTTAATTAACAGCGAAAAATCAGTATGATGAAAAAGGCAACACTTCCTAACGCAATTCGTTCTACTTCTGAAGTATTCATCATTTTGTCCAACAAGAAATTAGTGTTTGCTAATTCCTGACAAGCATTAAAATCCATGTTTTAAATTCTTATCCTAGCAGGTATTTTGCTGATTATAACAGCATCATTTTTCCAGCAAAAAATTCGTTAGAATGCCCGAGAAATGACGAAAGGTTGAATGAGCATAGCGGGAAAGACAAAACTTCAAGTATTTTTGTTGGTCAGTGCTAACTAAAACTATTTTTAGTGTAACATCGAATTGATGAGCATACTTTGCAGATATAGTGATTTTGACGGAATTCAGAAAAACTCTGCTGTGACAAAATCACGAAACTTTAGCTATTTCATGTAGCGCTAATTCGGCTTTTGAAAATTGCTTTAAATCTTGTTCACATCTTACTTTATCATATTAAGCTTCAGTGAGCTTATTTATTGTAAATTCAACCCCCATGTCATCTAGCAATGCAAATAGTCACTATTCCTGTTTCTCTAGTGTTTACAACCTTTGGAAATAATGTCCAATGTTCAGTCATATTTTATCACTGCTCAAACATTATTGTGCCTAAATGAGCCTTGAAATTATAGGCATCACTTTCTATATTGTACTTAAATAAGCCTTAACATTAAAGGCATAATTATGTGTCCAAAAGTTAAGCCTATAATTTTCATATGATAGCAATCTGTAAAATAAATATTTTTGGTGTATTGTTAAAAACGGTTATCAATGATTGAAAACAATTAAATTAATTAGAATCTATTTTTTAATTTATAAAACTTGCAAAATCTTACTTTATCTATAAAGTAATCCAAATAGTATGGCAATATTTAAGCATTAAAAATTTGTTTACTTTTACTTTTTCATCACTATAAAATTACAAAATTTGCATTAATTATTTCAATCATTGTTAACTTCGATATACTTAGGATTTGATATCAGCTGAAATGAAATGCAAAATTTGACTTCTATAACATAGCAAATTAAGTAAATTGAGCAGATATAGTTTTAATTAAAATATATTCTGTTTTATATTTATGAAACTTCACGTCATGCACTTTTGTACATAACGTAAAGTTTGTTTACATAATCTGTTTATTTTTTTGAAGTTTTTTTCAGCATATTTTGGATTTCATTTTTTTTTTCAGAAGCTAAAATTTATTGAGGAGAACTTGATAAAAATATTCAATAATTTATGCATAAATTTCAGGATAAAAAAAATTTGAGTACTTGAAATAAATAATTTCAAAAATTCTTTCTTGCATTAGCTTCCTCAAATATGAATTGTTCATAATCTTTTATAAATTTGCGCACTTCATCCACTTTTTTAACGCGTCCAGCTAATGTAAAACAATGCAGCAATGCACGATGCACGTAAAGATATTGCTGCAAGCAGGACAACTTATTCACGAGTGTAAATACGGTAGTTTTCATTTGTAAAGTTAAGTTGTTAACAAAAATTAATATTGAAAATTAATTGGATTTAGCTTTTCTACATTAATTCATTTCATTTTTTTTGGTAAAACAAATGAGATTATTTTTAACTCGATTTATTATTAATATTAAAATTATTGAAATATGGAATGTATTATTAAATTACTCAATAAAAACAATAATTGTATTGTTTTTCTATTAAATTGATCAACAAATAATAACAAATAAAAAATTTAAGAGAAAAACAATATTCCTGTTGGTCATTATTGTTATAATAAAACGCGCAAAAAAAAACTTTGACAAAAAATTTAAAAAAAAAAGAAAAGTTTTCATAGAAAAGTGAAATTAATTCTACTAAACTTGTTACATCGATGAACTAAAAATGTAAAAAAGAGGTTTATATAAAAGAAATTTATTGAAATTATTTAATATACTTAATGTATTTATATTAATTACCGCACGTTGTTAATCATTTTTAAATGCTATATAAATGAATAATAAATAATATACATACAATATTATTCTGAATTAATTTAGCACGTTGCTTTCGTAATTCAGCAAGCATAAAATTCATACTACTGCAAGTTTGCTTGTATGATAATTTCTCGAGAACTAATTCAATTAGTACCAAACAACCGGTACGTCCAATACCAGCAGAACAATGTAGTACTATTGGTGACGATGACATTCGTACCTATTAATTAACAATTAATAATGATTTTTCTGATGATAATGATTTTTCTAACTACTAATCAATAATAAATACAAGGAAATGAATTTTTAAAATAAATATGTAATAATTTTTTTTAAATTGCTGACTTTCGAATCAAAAATTTTTAACATTTAATTTCAGGAAAAAATGTTCACTACTATATTTGACTAATTTTTCCATAACTTTGTTATTCACTTTTTAATAGTTTCATTATTAAAAATATTTTAATTTTGAAAAAAAAATATAGAATAGAAATAGATAATACGAAGGAATTACCATTTCAAGAAGATGTAATGGACAGGAATAGCTATTAGGTATATCATGATCAGGCCAATCAGTCCAATGAAAATGTGTCACAATCATTGTTTTCATATCTGGTGACTGAATCATTAGCGAACGTTCCCAAATTTCACATTCAAAATCTATTCGACGTTCGCACTGAAATTTTTCAGATAAAAAATATTAAGTGGTTGAAATAAAAAAGAGAATGTCATTTAATGATAATTACAAGTCAAACCACTGTATGATAAAAAGATTA